AATAAACTGTTTCGTCATAGAATCATAGACTGGTTTGGGTTGGAAGAGACCTTAAATATCATCTAGTTCCCACCTCCCTGCCATGGCCTTTGTAAGTACTTAGAAGATAACAGGGAGGGTTGTCACAAATACAGGTTTTTCAAGGACAAATAATGTCAACCAAAACAGGCCTGTGGATGGTGTAGATGCCATGTATATCGATTTACTAAAGCTTTTGACACTGATGTGATATTTTCCTAGGAAGCCACATTTCAGGTGAAATTTCCCCTAGAGCTCACAAATCCAGCAACACACCATCCACAGGAGGAAGCCCTGCTTCACACACAGGCTGGAAGGATGCTTCAATCCTCATTAATGGTCAGGGTGCTCATCCAAAGAGCATATTCATTACACCTGGATAAATCCAGGCTGATGTTTTTTTAAGGTGAAGCCTCAGCTGGAGCATGGTGCCTGATAGGCCCTGCATGTTAAGTGAGACACTGACAATGCCTTTGGAAGTGTGAGCTGAGAGGTCAATGATGAGAATGAAATTGGGCTGGTTTAGGGTAGAAATGTGTGACAACAGCCTCCAAATGCATGAAAAGGTATGAAGCAACAAGGAATGGGTTCTCCATATACATGGGGGATGAGATAAAAACTGCAGCACAGCAGATTTAGGTCATTCACTATCTACATTCTCTAGGGAAGATACATAACCCTGGTCATCAGGGTTTGGACTGGCAATACCATTTGAGGATAATTTGGATACAGTTGGTGCTGTCTCGGGCCAAGTGATTGGAGTAAATGACTCTTCCCAAAGCTATTTTTATGAGACCATCCATGTCAAGCTAGAATGGCTCAAATTTGATTCAGCAACATCCTTAAGTAAATGTATTGGTACATGCCCTCAGCCAGGGGCACTGGCAGAGGCCACAGCCATCTGTGCTTTCATGATATTTTTCTGATGACTGTCAGGGTATCTCTTGAAACTTCAGCAGCAAGTCAGGGTGGCCAAAAGGCTGGGATGGCAAACACACACCTTCTAGAGGTCTCTGAATGAAGTCCATAAGGGAAAAGACACTTCAGCCCCGTTAGACCGTGGTCCTGCCTCTTGGAAGGAGGCACTGTTTTGGTTGTCCACACCAGCGTGACAAGCAGGAGATGCTGATACTGGGAGGGGAGAACTCAGAAGAGGAAATAGAAGTGGTGGGAGGGCAACGAAGTGGCATATGGATTGTTCTTCCACAGCTCTGCTGCTGCTCCAGTGAAACACTTTTTCTTCTCACTGTGATTCCTTTCTTCTGAAAGCTCTTCATTTAGAAAACAGACAAATTTCTGCCAGCTACATAAATAATTTCCCTCTTGTAAGACCCGGAACTCCAGGGAATTATTTAAAAGCATCCTGTCTCTTACAGGTACGTGCAGAAGTGGCTATTAGAGTAACAAGAGGAATAATAAAAATGCAAAGAGAATGTACGTCGTGGAGAACATCTGTGAATGACAACTGTAGGCTAAAAACATTTTTAGGTACCTTGCTAAAGGTTCCAAGCATCAAGCATGGTAAAATGGGAGAAATACAGAATTTCTACAATAGTTTGGATGAACAGAAAGTAGTGGGCTTCAAGGCAGCGATCAGGACTTTGTGTATAATTGCTACTGAAAGAATATACCTTAATATTTTAAATGTTTTTCTGAACTCATTCTGTTGGTTCGAGGAAAGATTACCAAATTGAGGAGCATGTGTGTTTTCCTCTGCTTTTAACACATTTATCATTTTAATGACCCACTGCAGGTTGTCACTACCTGTATTCCTGGCAGGAACTACCCAACTACCTTGTTGCTGAAATCCTGCAAAATTATTTAACAGGAAAAAATCCAGCATATTTACAATGAAGAGAATGAAGAACAACTTTTCCTTGAGGAATTTACTCAAATTAGGCTTGCATACTATGTGCCGAGAAAAAAAGGAAGATTCACATTAGCATAAATTGATGAAAATCAGGGTATACTCTTTATGTGATACACTGTAAATGCAATGCTGGTGGAAAAATAAGAAAAAAAAAAGTAAAAAGCTCATTCTTGTAATGTTTTTCTACTTCAAATTAGAAAAAAAAAAAAAACCAGAAAGTTCATTTTTTCCCCACCAAGGAGTGGAAATACTTAAAGAGGTGGGGACTTCCTTGTGAATGTCTAAGCACAGCATTGGCATCGAAAGCTGTATGTTTCTGTGTGTCCAATATATCCAAAATATTTTGCTTAGAAAAGGCAGGCATGTGTTACTATTTGTAATGTGCTTCATGTAAAAAAAATGTCAATAATGAAACATTTCCTTCGTTGATCCAGTTTTCACTGAATCATTAAAGGCAGGGAACAGAAGAGACAGAGGGAGATGAGGCATAACTGAACACAGTAGATGGAGCAAACTACCAAGAAATTCAACCCCACATGTCTGGACTAAGTAGGCAAACTTGAAAAGAATAAAACCCCCAAACAATCCAAACAAACAACATGACTTGGAGCAAAATCAGAAAATTAGAATTAAATGAAAACAACCCTCAGGCTGTGCTGCTAGGAGAATCACTGTCTGTTCCCAAGCTGGTTGTGAAGACCTGCCTTTGGTGAGCTCTCCTCCCAACCCAGTGTTCCCATCTTCTCAAGGGGACAGTTGGTCACCCCTTGTTTCAGCAGGTGGCTTCTTTACCCCTCGCTAACAAAGCTTACCCTTGCCTCGGGCCTGACTTAGTTCCCTCACCCTTCTGTATATGTGGCAGCATGACCCTGAACAACCACAAAAATAATCCTGTGATTCTGACATCTGTCCTCAAATTCCACCTTGGCTTTGACAGAATTATGTTTTTCAGCAAAGAGGTATTTTGCCCATGGTTTTCAGCCAGTTCATCCAAGCAGCACAACACTCGGCGTTGGCTGAAACTGTGCTGGGTGACTTGGGGAGAAGAGCTCATGTGCAGGGAAATCACATGGGACAGGGCTCCTCAGTGAAGGCCAAAATCTGTCTCCTTCACAGATAGAAGGGAAAAGTCAAATGTGCCATTTAGGATCCTGAAAGGGCAGCAGGGATGAGCTGAAGTTGCATTGCATAAGTTCCATTTAGACCTAGCAGGATCTGTGCAGCAGCTGATATCTGCCCTCCTTATCCAACAAGACCTTGAAATGTACCTTCAACCTAAGTAGGTTGTTGCAATCTTCTGGGGCCTATACTAGCTTTCCACTTATGGAAACCAAGCTTTGAACTCCAGGGGATGAAATGAGGTGAATTTAATTGTGTATCTCATCACAGGTACAAGATTCACGGCACATGAAACAGAAAATAGGGCTGAAGGAACAGCAAGAATCTGAATTTCATGGCAAAAGGGTACATACAGTGCTTGAGCTGAAGGAGTAACTTCAAATTGCTTAAAGTTCCTGTATATGAGTTTTCAGTTTTTGTGGTTCAGCAAGCAAGGAAACACGAGGTGCCAGTATGACATATATTTCATGGCAGGCCACTTTCGCCACAAAGCCCCAGCATGGCCAACACTAAGGAGGCCACATGTCAAGAGGTGTAAGCAAGCATCATGTGAGATCCTCTGGTGCATCATGAGGAAAAAAGGGGAGCTGACTAATCTTATTCTGACACTCGCCCTTATATGTAAAGCCCTTTGTAGTATAACATTCCTCAGCAGTGTCTCACAAACAGGGGACAAGGGGAAGGAGACCAGACATCCTTGGACAACTGTTGCTCACTGTCAGCTTTAGAAAGCTGCCTTCCAACAAGCAAAATGCTCTGGGTCATCTTGTTTCCTTCCCTCTGAGGTTACCCTCTTACCATCAAAGCAGTTCATCAACAGACCACTGATAAACTTATTATCAACAAAAATAGCTCCTTTTTCTACTGCTGGGAGAAATGCAACAATTTCTGTTCCTCAAATGAGCTATATGCTGTGGCACTTGTTTGGGCCCAGCCTAGGGGTACACCATCTTAATGTCATGGGATTTTTCTGTAGGCTTATTTAAATGCATAGATAAGACTTCATTGTCATTCAGCAGTGGAGCTACTTCTTGTCAGTGTGTTTTGCAAGAGAGAGAGCTCAAGTAGCAGTGTGCCATCTTTTTTCTTTTTGCATGAAAAAAAGCTGTAAAACATGAAGAACATTAATATATCCTTAAATAAAACTCCTGTAAATACAAACTACTTTCTTTGTTCTTGTGAAATTAAGCTCAGTTTCTGGCATTTGCACTTACCAAATAGATGACCCAGAGATTACTTTTTGTAATCAACCATGGTAGCTGCAAATCCAAAAGGGTGGGCTGGAATGAAAAGGAATACAGAAAAACTGGGGTGAAGACACCATTATTTTGGATGGTGACTGAGCTTCATTTTCTCACTCTCTCTTCCAATACTGCTCTTTCACATATCCCGCTACTCTGCAACAACAGGGAGAAATGAATGAGTGAAAGCGTTGAGTTTGTTGGAGATACAAGCTCCACATGAAGTGTTGTAATGCACTGGCTGGTGTTAAAGGTTATCCTGGTAACTAGTAAAAAGAGGAGACTGAAGTATACACACTGTATACATTATTTTTAATTATTTTTATTAATTTATTTATTATTAATTAATCAAAGGCAAGATGGAGGGCAGAGAAATACTGCTACTCCATAAGGCAGGTGTGATGGCCCTGGAAATGAAAGCCCCCCCATCCTGGACAGGGCCTACACATCCATGCTGTCTTCTCTGCATTTGCCATTCAACATTCCCAAGTCTGAAACGTTTCTTGAGGTACCTGTGGGACCATCCGGCACCTCTGTGAAGGAAAGCGGCTGCCCGAGGAGCGTTAACGTGTGGAACCCCGCTCTCAGAGCCCTCCTGCGGGGCACTGAGGGCTGCCCCAGCACCAGGTCCTGACCTTGACGCCTCCTGGCTCCAGAGAGAACTCAGCTCGGAAGCAAAGTGATGCGCAAAGGGACCCCGCTCTCCGCCCCGCATCGAGGAGGGCCGGGGAAGAGGAAAGGATGCATAACCCCGTGGGGTGTCAGCGGCCCCGGCGCACCGAGGGGGCTTCCCCCCATCCTCGCCCGCCGGCCCCGCTGCGCAGACAGCCGAAGCGGCTGTAAACCGGCTTATGCTCAAGGCGATTTTCTCGTAATCGGTCGGGCTTCCCGGGGCGGGGCGGGTTGGGTTGCGTCGGGTCGGGGGACCGGGGAGCCCCCGTGGCGGCGGCGAGGAGGGCTCGGGCCGCGCACCGGAGGACGCGGTGACGATGTGAGCGGCGCGGCAGCTGCGGGCCGGCTCCCCCGGGAGCGGGGCTGAGCCCGGGGGCCGTGGGAGGGAGAAGAGCCGGGCGGGGAGGGAGGGAGGGAGGGAGGGAGCGAGGAAGGAGGGGGCCTGGACGGGGCCGGGGGAGAAAAAGGGAGGAGCGGGGAGGGGGGAGGAGAGCGGCGCTGGGGACGCGCTGCCGGACCGAGGAGCGGCAGCGGCAGGAGGGAAGCGCAGCCCCGCGTAACCTGCGCTGCTGCCAGCCGGCGCTCTCCGCGCGGAGGTCGGGGACCTGCTGCGGGGGGATGGAGCAGCATGGGTACCCTTCCTATAGCGCCCGCAGCCCCGCCTGGGAGGAACTGGTAGGTACATGCGTGCCTCGCAGTTGCACAGGCATTTCCTACCCTTTTTCCTGCCTGCATTGTTCAGCCGGGGGGTCTGGCTGTCATCCTTATCTGTGCTCCCCCCGCCACCCCCCGTCCCTTCGCTTCTTCCGACCACGCTCCGCGGCAGCGCCCGGCCGCTGGCTTCCGTCCCTTCCCCGCCGGGACGGGGGCTCGGAACCTTTCCTCCCCACCGTGTCTGGCTGTTTGTTGGCGGGCTCGCCCCTCAGGGGGACGGGGTGTTCATCGGCCTTTCTGAGTTCCACTGCCAGGGTGGAAAGCCTTGGGTTAGCACCGAGAGCCTTGCCTCAACTTTGCCGGGGGCGGGGAGGTTGTATGTTGATACCGTTAAACGCCTTCTCTTAGCGCAGCAAAAGCGAAGTCCAGCGTCGGGAGGCAGTTTCCAGAACGAGACACTTCTTTTCCCCTTCTTCTTCTGTAGCCAGGTTGGGGATCACTCATGTCACAGCAGCAAAGCAGGCCAGGGCTGGGGTCCCCCGCTGCCATCCTTATTTTTGGAATGCGGGAAGGGAGGGGAGCGCCCGAACTGGCCAGGAGGAAAGCTGCGGTGCAGCGGCTTTGTGGTTTGTTTAAGCAAGTCGGAGACCCTCCTTCAAGCTGAAGGAAATCATGTCACCAGCATCCTCAGCCAGCGATAAAATCAGATTTCCCTTTTCAGGGCTGTCTGGTCCTGCTCTTGGGCTTTTCTCCATTGTGCAAACACACACACACACATCAGGCAGGGACAGCTAAAAATAGGCTCTGGGTAGCTGCTTGGGAGATTTCAGGCTATCTGAAAGGTCAAGGCTAGGTTGTTTCTGGCCCTGAACTTGGTGAGGTGACGTGAAGCATGGACCCATGCCACTGCCAGTCTCCTCTTTAGACGGCTGTGCCATGTTTTGCTAACTCGTTACGCTGGTCTAGGGGCCCTGGTTTTACTTGTAAACCCAGTTTTAAAGAGCAACTGCGTGAAAGCTGTACTTTGTCTCAGTGTGCTCATCCCCAGGAAAGCAGCAGCCCAGCCCTGGAAATACCCAGGGTGAACTAGGTTCACCCCCTTCCCTGTAAGGATTTGTAGCCCTCCCAAGTACATTTTTACGAGCCTCATTTTTGTTGTGAAGTTGAACATCCCCCTTCATTGCCCTCTGCAGTCCTCCAGCCCCAAAGCTGCTGCCGGAGATGCAGCTGTGATAGGGAAAACAGCTGTATGCGTGTTCCGGTAACATGCAGCTGACACCGAAAGGATCAGGCAAGGGAAACCCGAGATTTTTGCCTGGAGAGATGAAGACATTGTGGGAGGAAGGCAGCAAAGCTGATTCCCGCGAATGCGTTATCCTATTAAACAGTGACATTTAAATTGGCTGCCGTCATCTGAAAGTCAGCTGAAACTTGGGAGGCTGATGGATTGCAGCCCCTCCACTTGGAAATGTGGTATCCTGGCTGAAGCATCCAAACCCATTACCTTCTGTGCACAGGGCTCAGATAAACAAGGAGCACATCTTTTTCTCCATTTCCCCCTCCCCCAGTAAGCACCGGGATTTGGGTCATGTTTATCATTTCATTGCTGCATTTGTTAGAGTACATCCATGAATGCAGTTTTAGTGTTAACCACTGTACTCATTTCCTTTACAAGACTCTAATTTCAGCTAAACCACTCAATCCTATACCTGGTAACCTGCTGGTAAAATACACAGTCTTTGTGGCAAAAGCCGCATCATTCTTTGTATCCACTCGTGAGCAGGCTTTTTATTATAATGGGGGCAAAGGAGGTGAAGAACTGCATGATGAAGGGAAAAACAAAAGTGCCCAGAACTCTCCCTCACTCTCAAAACACAGAAAAAGAGTAACAGGACAGAAGCACTATCTATTGCAGGTTTTGAGTCTGTGCAAGCTCGTTACCTATGCAAATTGTCAGAAGTCATTGGGAGGTGCTCTTCCTGTAGCTGCTCTGAGAAATACATGACGGACATCAAATGGAGCCACGACTTCTCCTTTGCCTGTCAGGGCTGGACTTGTCTGTGTGCAGTTTCAGATTTCTATAAAATCCTTTCTTTAACTCGCAGCTCACTTTGAACGGAAAACTCTTCCTGACTCCACTGAGTCGCCATTAGATCCTCCATGATGGAGTTAATAAAAGTAACAAAAATGTAAGGCTCATCCTGCATTCTTCTAAGAGAGATTCAGTGGCTTTGTACTCAAAATACATGTAATATATGTTTTACAAAGGTCTACACCTGACATTCACATGAGACCTGAGTCTTGAGTTTAACTTTCCCTTGAAATGTATAGATGGGTCCTAACACATTTGCAAAATGATGCTTTATTTTGACAACCTCCACTGGTTTACACCTTTTCACTCTGAAGCGTATGTTTTTGTAATCTACAGATTACAGGATTGCCTTGGCTACTCCTGAAACAGCCATCAGCGACGTAGTTACTCTCTTTAACATTGGTATGCATACATTTTGCTGAATTTTGGCATCCCCTTTGGTAAGGAAGCAGAGAAAGAATAACACGGCTAACTTGATCTACAGAGGGAGTTCAGACAGGCAGGTCTGAAACTAATTTGCTCAGTGTGGGGAGCCCAGCTAAAAAGTACAGTTATCACCAACCACTGAAATTAGAAAAGATCGAATAAAAACTTCAGCATCATGAACACTGTTAACCTGACACAGATACTACTATTAATCCACTTTTTGAGGTAGAGGGAAAAAAAAATATTGCCCTTCAGTTTATTGATTCCAAAGTGACCTAGAGAAAAAGTGGTAAATACGCTTGTTGCAAAGGGAAACAATAGTAGAGCTGGAATAATTTATGTTCCTGGAATCAACTAATGCGTTAGTCTGCATTATAATCTCCAGTGCAGCTAGAGTGCATGTGTATTTGGATTCTTTTCTAGATTGCATATGCATTTTAGCAACACATATTCTATTATTGGAACTGGATGTGGTTGAGTTAAAACGTTCTCACAGTGCATATATATACCCAGCACTTCTGGATTCTTTGAATTTAAAGGGCAGATCATTAGCTGATACCAATTGGCATAGCACAAATGATGTTAGTGGAGCTGTTTTGTATCAGTTGCCATCTCCCTTTAAATGCCAACACTTCTTTACGCTTTTCACCAGGTTCTCTTGCTTCAGTTAGGAAACTAAAGGTAATTACTAAGAAGCATGGAATTGAGTATATTAAATGAAAGATGTAGCACATGCTAAAAACATTTTGTGTTTTTAATGGTTGCATATATAGCCCCGTATTCTTCAAAAGCCTGTCTCACAGAAGTCTAATGGTACCATTTGCACTACAATAATCATAGCTGAATATTCACTGAGCTGAAATGTACTATTCAATATTTCTCATATTGAGTGTGACAGAGATCACCTAGGAGAATTTCAGCTGTGAGATGAAGGGATGGAAGTCAAGTTGGCAGTCCTTACTAAGGCGAAGTTACCATGGCTATCTTAAGCAGTTTTATCCGGGTAAAGGTTGGAACTGGACCCTGATTATCTAACTACTAATACCTCTAAAAAGAAAAAGAAGTGGAAACAGTGAGATCTTTAAAACCGTCTTTGTGCACAGCAGCATGTGTTTGTAGAAACAACTTCCTATGCTGAGGTGAACGAATAACTCAGCTACTTTCAGGAACGCTTAATGCCTGGTTCCTTCATCTTGAAGAACTCACAGATGACTGTGGATTTTAGAGCCTGTAATTACACAGATTCCACTATGTACTTCACAGAAACCATATTCTCATTGCAGGACATCTCTTATCATTTGCAGATTTAGGTTATTACTACTCACATTTAGGTTATTACTACTGAAATCTTCACATTAGGTGACCTGAAAGAACATTTCCTAGTACTTCTTTTTTTTTCATTGCATTCTGAAGTTTATTGAGATAGGATGAAAGTGACGTTCTTGGAAGTGAAAGGCTGGTGCATCCTCTCCTCGTAATCCAATTCTTGTGTTTGGTCAGTCAGGAGAGAGGAAAATCACAACAGGGTAGCCCATGTGAGAATCCATGATGCCCTCTGTGAGGTGCAGAGACTGTGCAGAAGCCAGGGCTGTTAGCTAAGCTCTGAAAGGGAACAGAAGTTGAAGAACTGTGTTTATTGCTCGTTTCACCTACAGATATTCTTTTGCCAGCTTTTACGTATTTGAGATGAAATCTAGTGAAGAAAGTTTGAGCTGGCTCTACAGATACCTGAGGAGATCTCCAACTCCTCTGCTGGCATTGTAATAGCCGCTGGATGTCACAGGAGCTGTTACATATAAGAACCAAATTAGTAACTTTGTTAATGTTCGAGGCCAGGTTGGATGGGGCTTTGAGCAACCTGGTCTAGTGGAAGGTGTCCCTGCGTGTGGCAGGAGGGTTAGAACTTGATGATTTTTAAGGTCCCTACCAACTCAAACCATTCTATGATTTTACTTTTCCACCTAATAATGATGAAACAATGCATTCACATCCATTCCTAAATGGTCCAATGTTTGCTGGTATTAAAGACAAGTTTTTAAATTAGTGTAACCACTTGTGAAAGCAGTTTGAAAACAAACCAGATTAGTGTCTTCCTCTGGAAAATACTGGTGCTGTGCATTTATGATTCCAAAACTTCAGTGGAAGGCTGTATTTTGGAAATACACTTTAACCACCTACTGTTTTTAGGATCAAGGTCTGAATATATAGGGAACAAGCAATCAGATATTATTTTATTGAAAAAAAAACCACCACAACCCAAACCCAAATGCTTAAACATACACATTTTGGGTCATCAATGGAGTCACCTTCATGATCCCCCTGAATTCAAACATCGTAATCCCAAATTATGCACCTCAGTATTTCACTGTCTGTGTGTGCCTTTCCCTCGTACTCTCTCATCACACGTTTTTGACTGAATTTAGGAAGGTATTCTTCATGGGTGAAATGATCACTTGTAACCACGAAACGAAGTTTTGCACGTAACTTCGCCCAGGATCCTAGTCCTGTGACACAAACATATAGCAGTCGCATGCACAACAACACAACTAGTGTTGTTCAGCTAGTGCTGTTTAATTCAGTGGAATTAAATGGATTACTCAGTCTTGCTGATATTCTGTTAGCATTAAGTGTTCCTCAAATCACAGTCATGGTTACACGTAATACATGTTAGTATGAATTAGAAAACCTGTCTTTTTGTCCTCTTGCAATGTTCAATTGCCATTTACCTTCAGAAGACTCAAGGAATTGCAGTGAGATGTTTTCTGGCGTAATTTGCTGTTCCTGAAATTAAGGTGCAGAAGAGAAGGAAGGGAGGGTGGAAAGAACAAGTATCCGTAAACATTGCTTTTAACCTTTCTTCCCAGCTGTGTCCTAGATTAATTCACTGAGAGCAGTACAGACTTGTGCTTGCCCAAGTTTGATCCCATGTTTTTGAAAAATGAGAACTCTCCCTCAGGTGAAGAGTGAGACAAGACAAGAATCATCCCTTAGTTTCACAATTAGCCTGTAAGGAGAAGGGATGATATGAAAACTTCATCTGTTTAGACATGTGGTACTGATGGTAGGATTTAGGCCCTATTGTTATTCTAATAGAGATTATAGGTAATATGGTCAGAATGCATTTAAAATATACTTTAATGCATATTTTATTTTTTTTAATCTATTTTTTGCCATGTTTTAAAATATAACTTAGTAGTTAAGTGATCCTATGCGAAGCAGAATCACATTTGAAGTACCTGGTGCAGTAACACAGTACTAAGCCACAAGACCTGCATGGCTTCATGGAAATATTTAATTTTCATTATTGTGAATAAAAGTCTCAATAGAAGAGATGGAATACTCTGGTTTGTATGAAATTCAGGTGGTAGCAAGGTGTCTACCGTGTAGGATAGATTGTACACTAGGGGTTTTTGTTTCTCATTAACTGCCTTGTATTTAGGTACTGCAGCATTCTATTAGCATATTAAGAGATGTCAGTTCCCTTTCTAGAAATATAAATAGAATTGTGGGGATATGGAAGCCACAAGTATTGATTGCTTTCTTATGTTTAATCCGGTCCATGCAGCTAGGAGCTGTGTGTTTTATTTAGTATTGCTGTGATTTAAATGCTTATTTTGAACACTTGACTACATACAAACCACAATCATTTCGAAGTCCCACAATTCAGAACATGTGGTGACATTTCAAGATCGTGTGTGCTGCCAGATCTGAGATTAAAAGGGAAAACTGACCCTTTCTTTCCCCAAAAGGCTCCTCTTTTACAAAGACAAAAAGAAAAAAAAAAAAAAAGAACGGAGTAAGAAGAAAATTAAAACTAATAGGAGAAAATAACTGGAAAGCAATGCGTGCATTTGACAGAACTGCCCAGTGCTTTGACGGGGAAGGATGCCACGGGATGGACAGGTGGGAGGCACAGATGAGGAGGAGCCCATCGGTTTAGATGCCGTCCACCCAGCCCCCAGAGATGTGCTGTGGTCCCACGGGAGAGCTGCACGGTCCGCGGCCGGACAGCGGATGGGCAGCCCTCCCGCCCTCAGAGCTGGCGGGTTTCCCGTGCTGCCGTGGAACGATTAGGACTCGGCTTCCCCCTCTGAGCCACGCGGGGCTCGGTTCCGTGGGGACGCCCGGGCAGGTGCGGGGGGACCCTCGCCAGCTTCGCCCCTCAGCCTCGCCCCGCCGCTCACCTGCGGCGCGCCCACCTTCACCCCGAGACGAGCCACGGCCACGGCCCCCGGACCCGGCGGCGCCCCAGCCCCTGCGAGCGGGCAGCGGCGGGAAGTGGCCCTTCCCCGCCAGAGGGGGGCGGCGGAAGATGGCGGCCGGGCGGTCCGCTCGCCTCCGCCAGCACCGGGCTCCGTCCCCTCCACCGCCGCCTCCGTCCCCTCCTCTCCGCACCGCCTCTTTCCCCACCCTCCCGCACCGCCTCCTCCTCCTCCCCGGGGAGGGGAGCGGCAGCGGCTGCCCTGGCTGAGCCGGGCTCGTGTGCTCTCTCTCGGCAGGAGTCCGGGAAGATGGCCGGGGCCGAATCAGGGATGAGCGGTGCCGGGATCCCGCAGCAGCCCCAGCCTCAGGCCCCGGCGGCGGCGGGGCCCGCGGACGAGTCGTCGGACAGCGAAGGGGAGCACGAGGGCCCCCAGAAACTCATCCGGAAAGTGTCCACCTCGGGCCAGATCCGCAGCAAGGTAAGGGCGGCAGGACCCGGCGAGCCCCGCTGCCTCCGGGGCAACTTTCTCCATCCCCGTGCTACGGCGAGGCCAGCCTGGAGCCGGGGCCAGCCGTTGCATCCCGCCCGCATCCCCGGTAGCTGCGGCGGGCGGGGGGGCCGGGGGGTGAGGCAGCCGTGCCTCTTCCTTCCTTCCCTCTCTTCCCTCTCCCCTCCTCCCCGTCCAGCTGTTGCGTCCACATCTGTCCCCGGCTGGCAGGAAGAGCCCCCGGGGCGGCGGGGCTCCGCGGGGCCGGAGGGGAAGCCGCCTGCCCCTGCAGCCGCCCTGCCCTGCCCGGCGTCCTGGGTGTGGGGGGAAGCGGCGGGCTGCCTCCCTCCGGCTCCTCTTCCTCGGCGGCGGGCACCGCTGCCGCAGGGATCCCGCCCTCCCTTCCCACGGCGTTTCAGCGAGCCCGTGCTCACCAACTTTCCTTCCCCACATCCCCGTCTTCTCCCCTCCCCTCTCCGGTCCCAGGGGGCCGCCGCCGTGTGCGCCGGCAGCCAGCCCGTGGTGGTACATCGGACTCCCGTTTGGGAGCGGGAGTGGCGCCAAGGAGGGAAACGCGGTTTCCAGTTTGAAAGGCACCTCGCGGGACGGGAGTGAAACTTCTATTCCAGCTCGCTCGTGGGGCTGGATGCATAAAGCAGCTGCCAAAATTTCGGGTTATTGAAGGTTTTGGCTGCCGGGGTCATCCTGGTGGAATTAACTTTTTGATGGATGGTGTGTTTACATCACGGTTTGTTGTTTTTTTTTTTTTTTTCTGGGAAAATGAACTTAAGCAAGCCTGCTTTTAGGAGTATAAAAATATCTAGACCTGACTTACTTTCTGTGGGAAGGATCCCGTGACTTTCTACAGAGCGTGGTCCATACTCAGAGATGGGGTCTGCACAAAGCCGCACTGGGCAGTGCTTAGGGGTGCAGCGGCATCAAGATGAAGGATTTTGCTGCTAAGTGTCTGGTTGTGAGGGGCAAAGTGACTCCATGCAGGCCCAGGCAGATCACACTTACACTTTGATTTCTAGACAATAGATCTTGTGGTGTTGTTTCCTTTACAAAGCACCCATGAAAGTTAGTAAGGATGTGTTTGTGGAGTCTGGTCAGATTGGTGCTGTTCTTCCCTTGAGCTTTTGCTTCACACACTACATCCAAAAGGCAGCCACTTTGAAACATAAAGCATCAGTTGTTAAACAGGAGCATTGTCCCATTATGTGAGGTGGCAAACAATTTTTTCCTCAAACCTAAACAAAACATGTCGTGCCATTTTGTTGCTAAATGTTAATTTTGCTTTTGTGAATGAAGGCCTGGCTAAAGGTTACTATAGTAAATAATATATTATTTACTATACTACTGCATCGTGTTGAAAACTTTGTCCTGCACAACCTTTCAGCTTTAATACCACTTCTGTGTGGTGGTCTTAAGAATGTTTTAAAAGTGACAGAAGGTGATGCTTTACTGTCTGTGGTGATGGTAGGTGTATTTGAGGTTCAACTCTCACAAAGGTTGATTGCGTATCAAAGGTTGATACACACCGACTATTCCTACCAACCGTAACAGGTTGGTGGGATATTCTCTATTGGATGGCTGGGAATGAAAGCAAAGCCTGAAGTTCTAAGACAGGTCTGCACGTCATGCTTTTGTTTATCTTCATTTGCATCTCAGTTCTATTTCTGTAAATCAGGTATATATAGGAAAAAATGTGTGCTGACACAATTTGAGTCATAAAATGCTGCTTTGCTGGTTGCAATTTACACTAATATGCAACTCCAGATATAAACATCTTTCTTTCAATTTAATTAAAAGTGATATATCTTTGTTAAAGATGAGACCCATGTTAAATAATTCAAGAGCACTTTATTTTATAACTCATGATGCATTATTTAAAAGTAGCTATATTTAGACAGACAACTCCCATTTAGTTTAAGGGTGTTGTGTGTTTCGCTGTTGTAGTAGTTGGTGATCAGTGGTTACATGAAACCACTAGAGCAAGGAACATCAGGGAGCTGCTCTTTTACCCAGCTAGTCCCTTTCATTCAAATTAGATTTGTTAAGCTTCGCTTACTCAGTGAATGTGTTTTTAAGCTAAGGTTTTAATTAAATGGATTGAGTTTGTCTTACAGCTAAGAACAGACTTTTGAAAGAACCCAAGAGGTGTATGTTACATTTATCACTGATGCTTGTGGGCCGTTTAACACTGTGCTATTTTTCTCTGGGGGTTGCTTATATACTTACTTGAAGCATGTCAGCAACGTGGTATCGATTCCTTAGCTCAGAACTATACCCAAAAGTCTCTGCTGGTAATTGTTTTTATTTTACTTAAGGAAGAAGTTATTTTTAGGTGTTTTGGTACAGTTGATCATTTGTGAAAGCTACCATATGGTCCTACTTTGCAGATAGAATCATTCAGGAGTAGATTTTTTTTAATGTGTATAATAAGATTTAGCAAATGTATGTATAAGAGCAAACTGCTTTCGCTAGCACAAACATAAGTCTAAGGATTTCTAATACCTGTAGTGTTCAAAGTGAGTTTTTAAGCTTTGCCCTCTTCTTCCTGCATAAAACCAATTAATTATTTGGCCAAGGGCAGGGGGTAAAAAACAGAATGGGAAAATGAAAGAATACTATACTGGGAGATGTAATTACACTGAAGTTCATTGTTTGTTTGTGACATGCTAATCATATTCTCACAGTTCTACTTAGAAGTCAGTTTTACCATAGCTTGCCCACGATGAGTCGTAACTTCCTCTGCAAACTGCTCGACTGACTTAAGTGGAACAACTTATACAGTAAATCACTATGAGAAATGGATGAATGTCAGGGCCAGACATTTAGGTAGCTTCTATTATGGGTGTATTTTCAGTTCATGCATATATATTCCTCGCATTTTTAGAGTACTTTAAAGGCATGTCTGTGTCAAAACATTTCCATTACTAATTTCCCTGAATAGAAAACTTGAAGATCAACATGTTTTGGTGTCTGTAAACCTGAGGAGAGAACAAATCTTAGTGCAGAGGACTAAACTATTGTTTGGGCCAGCACCTTGTTTTACCTAGCTACCTGTTTGCTCAAGCCCCGTACATGGTTACAGAGCCACACTGTACCAGGAGGTGTCTGTAGGGGAGTCAGGACCAAAATTAGTTAGCACTTTTGGGAGATTAAAGCCAGCATCTTTAAACCTCACGCTGGAAGCTATTGCATCTGTGGAGCTTGTGTGTGTTCTCTGGAGGAAATACAAGGGAATAGACAGGTGGCAGGTACCCTGTGAAGTTTGAGCAGTTTTGAGACAAAATCCCCCAATGGAGAGCATTGAAATGATTCTTGACTGGATGATACTTATGCACCATTTCCCCCCACTGTGGGAGACCCGAGTCTTTCATATATAAAAAGCGTCTTGGTAAAAACCATTTTTGTAATATGTATTTTGTTTTTATGAGGACTTTGGAAAACTGTACTCGGGCAGTTTTGATGCAGTATATATGATGATGTAGAGTGTTGTACTGTGGATTGAAGATGATGTGGAAAGTTCTCTGTGTGTCTCCGTTAAACTTGGCTTCTTAACTTTTAAAGACACTGGTTAAGACGGGCAGGGTTGGTGATGTCTTAAATGAAACAGATGGCTTCAGTTCTTGGGGCTACAGCTCAAAAACTCTGCCTGTCATCAACTGGCTTCTAGTTTCTTTAAAGTTAATCACTTTAGTGCAAAGTACATTCCTTAAAAAGATGGTCTTACTTCAGTTCTTTATATCTGGAACCTGTTGAGAAGGGAAGGTTCAAATTAGAGCAGACACTTTCTCTCTTTAAATTCTGCTCATCTTGGGGATGAGCACAAGATTAAATATGAAATAGTCCCTGGATATTTGGGTGTCGTCAGATGAGCACAGTTACTGTTCCTACTCTTGTTTTGAGTACTGTCTGCTAAAAAGTGCATATGAAGAATAGAACTTTCATCACTGACCTGGCTTCCTACTTCAATGGGTCCATGTGCAGTTAATGGGAAAGCTCTGCTGGATATGTGTTTTGCTCTCAAATCTGCAATTTGGTGTCTGGCCTGTGTTTATTTTTGGATGAAGCAGACATTCTGGAGCAGAAAGTGTAAATCAGGAAATGCAAGAAAATATGGTGTATTGAGCAAGATAAATACAATGTATCTGGGAGGATGCTTTCTTACTCTCTTTCACCCCAGTGTTTTTTGTTAATAATAAAATTACTGTAACATGGAAGATGTTCAGAAACATAAGTATGTTAAAATTAGTGGAGATAATACAGTGTTATTTAGTTAAATGGCAAGAGTTGTTACTGGAATTATCTTATCTGAGGCCTTAATGTATTTTTTAAGTGATCCTAAATCATTATGGAGTAATAAAAGTAAATTAATTAAATTCCCCACTGTGTTTTTATTGACCATAGTGGATAGCACCAGCCATTTAGGAACTGAGCCTTCAAAAAAGTTTCTAACCTCTTCCATATGGTGGCATTTGACAGTGCCAAGTCCCAATAGTCACTTCCTGTTTGTTTCTAGTATACATTTCTATCCGATTACTATAGCTTGTTAATTCACGTAAATGTAAAGTGCTGTGGTTGATACTAGCAGTAGACTTAAAGAACATCATTCTCTGCAATGTAATATGCTTTTACTACCTTTGATAGTTCCTGATTTACTGAGCTAAATAGTGGTTGATTCTTTTCTGCTTAAGAAGACATGATTTTTATGCACCAGAAGTTCTCGGGAAAATGCTGCAGTAGCAGTTAACCCTGAAAGGGAGCCTTTACATGCATGAGGATTGTCTGAACCTGCACAGCTTCAAAACATATTGTAATCTTGTGATTTATTCTGCAGCTGCAGCAACATGTGTAGTGTCAGTAAGCTTTATTATTATGTTTGTACAGCATGGGGCAGAACTAAAGTGCCCAAGTGTGTAGCAGTTGCCCTCAAGATCTTGGCACCTGGCAGTGCCCACAGAAGAGGTTGAAGGGTGCTGCTG